GTTGAGCTGTTTAGTGCTACTTCTTTCAAATTTGGGCCTTTTTTATATATATAATTAGGCTTGGACGGGTCGTAAATCTTAATAATTAATAGGAAATTAAAAATTGACAAAAATACCTACAAAATGACAAAATTATTCAATTTTACAAAATTGAAATTTTGGATAAATTTTCAAAAAAAATCAATTTTTTATTTTTTTATTTTATATATTTTTCGCCGGTCCGGTTTGGTTTCAAACCATAATTAAAATTCTCAAACCTAAACCAAACCGTATTTGACCGGTTTGGTTTGGTTCAAAACCATTTCGTTGACGGGTCCACGTGGCACCAAACCGCCGGTTTCGAAATTGCAGTTTCGGTTTGGTTTTCCGGTTTGACGGTTTTTGCTTACAGCCCTACTTTCTTCTTCACATCTTTCTGTTTTGTTTGTGTACATAAAATCGCCTCTCTTTTAGATTAGAAATGTGGGATCTATGACTATGAACCTATGAGCTCACTTTCGCACAACTTTCTGCGTTCCTGAGCTTCTCAACTTCACATATTCACTAGATCACTTTGATAGTGTTGATTGTACAGCATCTGCCCAGTATAATCAGGTGTTGAATCTCGATTTAAGCTTGTGGTTCGGAAAGTCCCAAGCAAAAATTTGCAACAAATTGAAATTTTTTGGTCAAAAGAAAATTAACTTATATTGGTATTCGAATGGGAAGATGAGCTTAATTTGGTTTATTAGCAAACTCTATTACAATATCTAACTCTCATTAATAGTTCAGATACATTCCATCAATCAAGACTTAAAATATTAATAGGGTTTACAATCTTTCCACATACTTAAAGGAGTAATCTTAAAATATGTAAAAGGTTATATTTCTTGAAATATTTGATTTAGTAAATTGGATATTACGAATTTATGATCTTACTCAAATTTCGAATACTTTCACAATACAAGTTGGATTCATTAAGTAATCACATCTTACAAACCCAAAAAAGCAACCCTTATGGGCACGATATATGTACATTGCTAGCTACAATAAGCCACCACAAATGAATAGAAAATGCATGGGAAACAAAACTACAGATTCCTCACCTGGTATTACATGACCAACCACAAGGTATCTTTAACCAGCCATATCCAAGTCAGAAATTTTGTTTCCCTGTTCACTCGACGAACTAATTGATGTATAAATATGCTCAATTCTTAGAGGTGAGTGCCGGACCGTGTACTGGAATATAACCTGACAACATAAAAACAAATCAAATATGCTACACTTGCCCGAATATAAAGTTCACTAATAAATAATAGAAGTAAAATGAAAATGCATCTTAACCATTTACAAATTAACATATGCATTCATAGTTTTATACCCAGGTAAGTGGTCACCGAACTATAATAAACCAACTAGCAGTAAGCTCAAGAAAAAACAAACACAAGGGTTTGGAAACAACAACTGCAGAGAAGCTTGCCACCTCAAAGTCTCATAATTGTGGGATACCCCAGTTATGCAAACTCATGTCGTGAACTAGCTATTCCACAGTTGTATTCACTTTAGATGCCGAGGCAACACAGACAACAAGGCAATTTATCGATGGCCTTGATGGAATCAGCAATAAGTCCTCTACCTCCTCATTGAACAAGTACTTTTCGCCTTCTCTTACTCCATCAATGTTAGGTATGAATGGGATTGATGAAGATAGTGAAGGTGCACATATGGGAATTATAAGGATGAACGAATCAAATAGAGATGGACCAAATGATGATGAAATTTTAAATGCTCAGTGGCAAAATCCTGTTTCTTGGATGAACTCACCACCTGGTGGACCATTAGGTGAAGCATTGTGTCTTGGGAGTGCCAATACTACCAAGGGGGGGTTCAAATTCACCAATCCCTCATGGACATGGCTATAGCAATAGCAGCAGCAACTGTACTAAAAGCCTATTGTGAGGGTGGCAGCCATGCACTCAATTTCATTGGGTGACAGCTATTGCATTAATTTGGTTGCCACTTCAAGGAGACAAATTGCCCTGATGGCTGAGCAACAAATGCTCTTCAGATTTGCTCTTTTTTTCCCTTTTACTCGAATTGTTCCCTCGTCACTACTAATTGCACTTGCCATAACTTTCTTCTTCACATCCTTCTGTTTCGTTTGTGTACATAAAATCGCCTCTCTTTTAGATTAGAAATGTGGGATCTATGACTATGAACCTATGAGCTCACTTTCGCACAACTTTCTGCGTTCCCGAGCTTCTCAATGGAAGCTTCACATATTCACTAGATCACTTTGATAGTGTTGATTGTACAGCATCTGCCCAGTATAATCAGGTGTTGAATCTCGATTTAAGCTTGTGGTTCGGAAAGTCCCAAGCAAAAACTTGCAATAAATTGAAATTTTTTGGTCAAAAGAAAATTAACTTATATTGGTATTCGAATGGGAAGATGAGCTTAATTTGGTTTATTAGCAAACTCTATTACAATATCTAACTCTCATTAATAGTTCAGATAAATTCCATCAATCAAGACTTAAAATATTAATAGGGTTTACAATCTTTCCACATACTTCAAGGAGTAATCTTAAAATATGTAAAAGGTTATATTTCTTGAAATATTTGATTTAGTAAATTGGATATTACGAATTTATGATCTTACTCAAATTTCGAATACTTTCATAATACAAGTTGGATTCATTAAGTAATCACATCTTACAAACCCGAAAAAGCAACCCTTATGGGCACGATATATGTGCATTGCTAGCTACAATAAGCCACCACCACAAATGAAAAGAAAATGCATGGGAAACAAAACTACAGATTCCTCACCTGGTATTACAAGACCAACCACAAGGTATCTTTAACCAGCCATGTCCAAGTCAGAAATTTTGTTTCCCTGTTCACTCGACGAACTAATTGATGTATAAATATGCTCAATTCTTAGAGGTGAAAGCCGGACCGTGTACTGGAATATAACCTGACAACATAAAAACAAATCAAATATGCTACACTTGCCCGAATATAAAGTTCACTAATAAATAATAGAAGTAAAATGAAAATGCATCCTAACCATTTGCAAATTAACATATGCATCCATAGTTTTATACCCAGGTAAGTGGGCACCGAACTATAATAAACCAACTAGCACTAAGCTCAAGAAAAAACAAACACAAGGGTTTGGAAACAACAACTGCAGAGAAGCTTGCCACCTCAAAGTCTCATAATTGTGGGATACCCCAGTTATGCAAACTCATGTCGTGAACTAGCTATTCCACAGTTGTATTCACATGATGGAAAGTCAATTAAAAAAAAAATTGTTATAAAGTTATATTGTCAACTCTTAGGTAATGAAAATCACTGTATGAACTGAATCATTGTGACATCATTAAAGGGCATTAAATGAATAAATAAGAAGCAGAATTCATGGTAAGAAAATGAAATCTAAAACTAACTACTAACCTTGGAGTAACTATCAGCAAAAGCTCGAGCACGGTTGGGTTTTTCAAGGTAGTGCAAATCAGCTTTCTCCAGTTTTCCATCCACAAAAGTTAATCCTCCTTCACTAATAGCAAATCGTAGAAGATTCCCAGTCTGAAGTCCTGTCTGAAGACTGTCACAGTCAGGACAGGATGCACACATACATATTTTTTTACCCAGGTCCTATGTTGGTAGACTTGGGTTTCTAATGATATTTTTCCTATAATTATTTTGATTTCACTAGTTGTGTGCGTTGCATTATCTTCAGGAAAACTATTTTTTTTCAGAAAAATGCACAAGCAATTCATGCAAGAGATTGAACATTTGAAAAGCCATCAATTTCCTTCATGGCAGATTAGATAATCATGCACTTTTTAAAAAACTGAATCATAATTTAATTATTTACTTCTCGGATTAACTTAAATGTAAATAAAATGATCTAACCTTTTGTATGAAATCCTCATTCAAATAGCCAAATATGACGGGGGGATCATCTGATGTAGCCAGCTTCCCATCGAAAAGTAACTCCAGTACTACCTGATCATCCAACAGAAAAGA